ACGCTTGACACCAAAGAATAATTGAGAATTCTTGAAAGATTTTAATGAAATTAATGAAAAGATTGATTATAAATTTTTTTTTATTCGACAATTAAAAAGATACACAATTTATTTTTATGCAATAATTCTTAAATCGATTTTTTATTTCAATTTTTGATAATTTTTTGGAGTTGCTTTCGATCAAAATATTTTTCATTCGCTTAATTGCGCCAATATTTTTTTACATACACGTAAAAAAGAGAAAAGAAAAATCAAAAATGAATTGGTACAAGATTCTCGATTCCGCTCACGAAATAATCCCGACTACCAAGGAAAGGAAAGTATCGGTGTATCTGGTCAAACGGTCAAACATGACGAGGTATAACGGGTGTCACGATGAAAAGTTGCTTTGTAACCAATTAACTAATTGCCACGATATTCATTCCATCGACATAACGAAGCACGGATGCGTGTTATCACGATTACTATCGCGCGATAAAAGTATGGTACAAGCCGAGTCTAAGAACGAAGGAAGCAAGTGCATGTTGCGAAATTACCGCACAGGTAAACCGCAGGCTAATGGGGATCTCCAAAGTCTTATAAACGGTCGCTGTACTTGGCGAAGTAACCTGGTTAACGGTACTATAAATATGCGAGTGAACGTATATTCCTTCCTTTATATTCCTAACGCGATCCCAGTCCCCTTGATATCTTTGTTACGGCAACAACAACATCACAATGCTATCCCCCAGTATCATCTACATAACCTGTTCATCGGTGCTCGAAAAACAATGATCGGCGTACGATTTAAAATCTCAACTTCCTGCTCGTGGATCGTTTCATCTTTTTCTCTTTCGTGTCCACATTTCGAATTCCGCCTCAAGTTCCACGCGTTCAGATAAAAAAACGCGGAGTACCGTCGTTAATGGTAATTACCGTGATTAAATCCGAGTCACAGAGGCTTCCCGCCTCATTGTTTCTTGACTTTCACTTAATGGTCACTGGACACCGATGTCCCGCGGGGCACGTTAATTAAGTTATCGATGCACCGCCGCTCTATTTGCCAAAAGCGTTTCATTTTCCAACCTGCTCGCCCAACTTTCCCTCGATCGGCTTTCTTGCCTTCTTATTCTCGGCCACGCAAGAACAATGGAACGAAACTCGATGCTTGACGAACGAGAAAAGAAAGAATGCATCGGTGGAAATTGTCGTTTCGACAACAACGATAAACAAACGTCTCGTGACTCTCTCCTCGTGCGAGCCAGTTCGAAAACGACATGGTGCATTTTTCAGTTTGAGTATTCGAAAACGTCGATTTGTAGGTGAAGGAACTTTTAGTAGAAAACACGGACGATTATTCTATTTCCTTCTTCGATGGAAGATATCTGTTGAAAGAGATTGCAGAGAAAAGTAATTTTAGGATAAACAATTTTAAATCGAAAGTCGTTATAAAATTCGCGTCTATGGTAATATAAATGACTGCGGGTATTTATTTAATTATACGCAAATTATAATAGAACTGTTGTTAAAGTTGTGAAAACATGTTTCTAACGGAAATAACTAGTTGACGCTTGGAGACTTTGATGCCCGCATAACAGCGATCGTTCGAGATTACTATACTATATTTTATTTCTATTTGAAATGTGCAGTCATAGTATCGGAAATAGTAATTTCGTAAAAAGAGAAACGTAGTCTTGTATATCATGAATATGTTTAAATTAAATTGCAAAGATCCGCCTACTTCGAGATACTATTTTATGTATATTTAATGTTTTCTAAACCTTTGAAAGTGTGCTTTGGATCAATTCACGATTTGTTATACACAAATTGAAAAAAATATAGAAATCAGAGTATCGAATTATTATAGTATCTCTAAACATGCTGCAAAATAGATTAGACGAATCGATTGTAACACGAAACATTTGCGGCTGATCCTATTACTCAATCTTTATATTTATTCGTGTTAAAGGAAGGGCGAGGCAACAGAGTGAAAGCACAAATGCGATTCAAATCTACGTGAAAATAAAAATATTTTTCTTTCGCAAAAATGATTTCAACGAGTTAAGAATGTGTTTATACGCGTAACAGCAAGAAATATAAATAGATATTTATTTACTGAATGCATCGTTTTCAAGTTTCAATAGCGTGAACAATAACTGCGAACTATGGATAAACCGACAATTTGATTTCTAATTAGAAAAGAATTTTTCATAGAAAAGACCGAAATTTTTCTGGTGAAATTTAGAAATTCCGCGCTAATTTAATTTTGTTTATGTTGTTCGATGAAGATAAAAAAAAAAAGAAAAAACAGAAATAATTCTGTATTAAACGAGACATATACTGGTAATCAGAATCAAATCTCATCATCTCATCTTACAAATTTTTTTTTAATGTTTTTTGGAAAATATTCCATTATTTAACAATATGATAAATAAATAGCACATCGAATTCAGTATCATAGTAATCGATGATAATGAATTATGAGTTTATTCATAATTCCACGATTTGAAGTTCAATCTACAGATTTTGAAATTTGTGCAACAATCATTTACGAGAAAAAAAAGAAAAATTAAAAGCTGTGAAATATTAAAAGTGGAACATCGAAAAAAATAAAACTTATAGATTATGAAATAAGCAGCTGAATAACGAGCTATCACTGAATGATAAAAAATCGTTCATTATATATCATGGCTCTTCTGTCCATAATTTAATCATTTTCAGAAAAATATTTTTTTACAAATATTGTATTTTAAACTTGTCTTAGGTAATGTACGAATTACTGTTTGAGGAACAATTTACCGTCTTCGAAATGTTACTTATCCAATCACCACTGATTTTTCATTCATCCTTGTTAAATGTAGAAATTAAAAGTTTATTTTTTCGTGATATTTCAACGAAACAAATTCTAAAATATATTATCGATCGAACGAAAATTTGTTTACTATTATATCTCTTAAATCAATTAACAATTTTAATATTTTATCATTATAACCATTATAATATTTATTACGTTTTCTAGAATAATTATAAAATTATATAATTATATAAATATCAATATACATATATAGAAAACATATATTGATATATGTTTCCTACAAAAACAATTAATTTCAATGCGATTAAATCATCATTTCAGCGAAAGTGAAATATTAAGAAGGATTAAAATATGAAATAGATCTCGAAGAGTGTGATCGCTAATGGTGAAAATCCCAGTCGCGCTCGTAATCAACATGATCGACGAACCGTGGAATTGATTAATCGCGCGTCGATTAACTGGAGCACAAAAACGGAGCATATGGATCAAGAAAGAACCATTCGTTACAATAGATCGTCTTATGCTCGCAGATAATCATGCAACAAAAAATCAATTATAGATCTCTATTAAAACGGAAAAGATCATGAGGGAATATTCATAGAAATGAATTTTTTTCTTTTTGTATTTAGCTCTACTTAGAAAACTTAAATTATTGAATATGATAAGGAATATAAAAATGTTCGAAAAAAATATTTTTTCCATATCAAAAGACATTGTTCATAGAAAATGTAGAAGGGAAAATGTCTCTCGGAGAAAAAACTAACAAGTTGGCAAGTGAAATGTAACGTGTAAGTACATCGAGCAAAACTATAGTCGAGCAAGTAGCGCATGCAGATAGCATGCAGAGATTCCGCAACGAAATCTTTGAAAACACTTTTGCCATTGCACATTATAATTCACAGAAGCCGAGTTTCTTTATACATTTTCTTTACGCAACCTTTACGAATTTTCTCTCATGAATTTTTCGTACTGTCTATTGCCAATAGCAGAGAGTTAATAATTTAAAAGAGGAACCGAGATTATTCTTGAGTAAATAGAATATAAAAAATTCAAAATAGCGAGACGAATTTCCCTTCCTTTCTATGTTGAAAAGAAGAAGGATGAAACTGTGATTAATATCGAAACATACTCATTAGCTACTCATCGTTCGTTCGAAAAATAGAAAAAAATGATGATCGACGAAACGTGATGTATGGAACGAAGTAATGATCGTGCAACGAGTAGCAAGTAGGATAGAATACCGTATAGTCAAAGGCACGTTTGGTGACCGACTATTTTAACCTCTCATCTTCTTACTCGTTTTTTTATCTTTTGGTTATCCGCTCTTATTTTTCATTTTTTTTTTTAACTTTAACTTTTTTTCTTTATATAATCGAATGAAACTCGAAATATTTTTAATCTCTTCTTTTTTTAAAGTTTCCGATTTCTGATCTTTGAGAGATAAATTTTATTCCATTTGAGTAAGATTCTTTCTTTGTTGTTGCATTTATTTCGAGCTATACGAATAGTTGTTTTTCTACCGAGAAGCAGCATAGTTCAAGGTCTCTGAGAAATGACAGAAGCTGCTTCAGAAGTTTCTCTACCCACTTTACAGGATGGATTACGAGCGATGGTTCCGTGAACGTAAACCGGAACATAATTCCCGCTGCGAAGAAGACATACATGCTGTAAGCAGTAATGTGATTAGTCTGCTTGAAACTGAAACTTGCAGCAACTCATTCGATGAATTTATCGAGGCCGTAGAAAGCTCTTGATATTAGAAATGACAAAATTAGAAATTGGAGATTAAATGATAATGACCTTCAAAAAATATAAGAAAATTAATATGTATATTATCATAGTTGACTGAAAGATAATATTTAATTTAATTTCATTTTTTCCGTCAAATTCTACTTTAATGCAAACTACTTTTCTTTCTTTTTATAAAACTATTGAGATACAAACAACAAACTTTTTCAATTATTTTTTTTCATCTTATAGGAGAAACTCATTACAATTTAATGAATTCGACAAGATGTAATCAATTGCAAAGAATATAATTCTAAATAACTTAGATCCTGATTAACTTACAGTTAGCACAATTTTTTATAATTTGATTCTATAAATATTAATTAATTCTAATTGTATTTATACAAAGAATACACAAAAATAAAGTCATATAGATTACTCACTTATTTAAAAAAGCATTGTTTGAAAGAAAATCATAAGCGCGAATTACAGATTTAATAGTTTCTTCTGTCAAGTTCAATTACGTAATGGTGTACACGAAGACAGTCGAGTTAACAATTAAACGTGGTCGAATGCGCCCGTTCTAGGCTTGGGTTTATGGACGACGTGCGACTTCCGGCGACGAGCAAACCGAGTGAAGATCCTCTTAATGCGCGATGAGCGATTCCGCGTTCCACGACCTGCTTTCTTGGCCCACGGGATCATCAGAATCGAAATCCCTAAAAAGATAATAATAATAATAATATTTAAAGCATTTAAATTATTTAAATTGTTCTCTATCTTTTTTTCCAAATAGAAAAAAATATGAGCGAATATTATCAAATTTTTTTCGAGAATCATTGAGAGGTTCATTTAATAATTGATAAAAAAAATAAAATTATAAATATTATGTAAATATATCATAACTTTTCGTATTTAAATTTAAAACACAGCAATGTACTACTTACATAAAGTATCATTGCACCGGTCGTCCTTCGATGCGATGGATCTTTTCCATCTGATAAACACAATTTTTTGATTCAATGTTCAATCAGATTAAATTAATCATTGATGATTAGAAATTTAGCAAAAATTAAAAATATTCTTTTGAAAATGATCTTAATCTTATGAAATATATAAAATTAAAAATAATAGTTTTAAACACGCGAGAGAAGCATCCATACTTTCTCTTTTCATCTTGAAGAACTTTTCAAAGAAAATAAAATATCTTCAAATTTCCTTCATTTACAATTTTTTCTATTTTCTCCTCGTACTCTCTAGAATTATTTGCTTTTTCTTATCGTGGAAAAAGCGGAAAAAAACAAGATATCAATGTTGATGTCAAAGAAGAAAGAGTTGAATTCCTCTTCGGACCAGCTTCGATGCATATGCGCGCGGAAAAGGAGACCATCACCTACTTACGCGTAAAATCGTTACACGTATTCGAAAGAACCGGCCATCGACATCAGGTGGATTCCTAATGACAAGACGTGGCCTCGTGTGAACCGGTCGCACCGTTACGGTTCCCCATTCATGCCGCGATAAAAGTCACGGCCGGATCCGACTTTCGATAGAAATCAACCAATCAACGCGACTTCTCATTCCCGACTGATCAAAATATCATGTTCCAAACGTGGAAAAGATCGAAACTATAGAATAGAATCGAAATTATCTCGTTCATTTAAGCTTGGTCCAAAAAGTGTGATCGATGTCGATGGAACCATTTTGGCGAAACTTTAATTCTGTTGTTGAATTTAGATTTTGCAATTACTGAATTCAAATATCTAAAGTTGGCAATTGATTTATCACTAGACTTTGCGATTGTGTGAATGACGTGATTAATCAAAATAATTATTTTTCGGCTATACTGTTAAATATAAACATATTCAATTCTAAAATTATCAACTTCATTTAATTCGATATAGTCAATAATCTTAGTAACTAAAATTTAAATTTTCTAGTTACGAAGACTTTGTCCCAGTTTTCAAGTAAGAGAAATTTAACATTAATCTTTATACAAAGATTAATATTTTTCCTGAGAAAAATTCACAAGTATTGTAGAGAGATTTTATGAATAATAATGATTCTCTATTAAATAAATAAATATTAAATAAAGCTTAATGTATCACTCGATCTAAATGTAAGAGAACCTCTACCAGTCCAAACAATCGATGCACGAAGATTCACGGAAACGTGCCTTGCCGATACTGTTACATTATTTTTGCACGGTTTAACCGATCGTTGTATAGCAAAAACTCGATCTTGATCGCAGATAAATAGACGAAAGAAATCGATGGGAACGATGAGATCGACCAATTTGTTTGACGTAATAGTGCATCCCGCGTTTTCAACCCCGGATGGAAAGTTTCTCGTCATAATATCGCTGGCAAATCTCCAATATTGCGAAAGATCTATAGAAATGGCGATTCTCTGCTTCTCTCGATCGTGCGGTAAACCCTAATTGCAATAACGTCGGAAATGAATTCGTGATTATTCTAAAATAGATACATCTGACGATTCTTCCAATATCATCAAGATATCGTAAGTATATTGAAATTCAGAATTTATTTCATACAAAATTTTATTATCTCCTAAATTGATATAATGAAAACAAATTGAGATATATTGATTGAAAAAGAAAAAATAATAAATATATGAATATTTTCATAGATTTCTGAGAAAGCAATTTGTAACATTTTATTTGGACTATTTTGTAGTTAATCTAAATTGAAACAGGTGCATATATATGATAATATTAAAGATAGACTATTATTAGCCTCCATTTGAGAATCTGTGGTCATACATAGATTATTACAGTTTCAATTTTATAAATAATCAGAGTCCGGAAAATTCAATGCGAATATAATCTTAATAATAGTAATACAGAGTGTATTACGTCGAGATGGATAAAATGGAGGACATACGTCCATCGAGGAGAAAGTAACGCAAACATTTAATAAGCGAGGTCGATACAAATTGCAATTACAAAACTCAAGAAATGTATCGCGGAGTTCCTGAAAGATTCCATAGACAACCAAACTTTTCGATTCAATAAGCATTAATATTTTCTAAAGATAAATTTGATTAAAATACAAAAGTAAGTATATTTGTTCACAAGTTAACTTAGTTAAATTAATTACGATCTATTGTCTATAACTGATGATCGAACGATAACGATTCCAATCTTGATGTTCAAGTTCATGAACAATACCTGTACTATCTTATTCCCGTTAGGCAAACCTTTTCCTACTACGCTGTTCTTCCATTAAACCCGTTGAATTTCGTTCCAGAAGATAGATCGCTTAATGAAAAATATATCTCGAATTTCCAGGTGCCGTTGGCGAAGAAATACTAGGAGTTGAACCGCTTCGTAGCGAAACGAGAAACCAGACGAATGAACGCAAATCGGAATCAAAGACCACGATCGAGCCAAAGAAAAAGCCGATCGATTTCAAGGTCAAGACCGAGCAAAAATATCAAAAAACATTCAAGGACGATGATTCGAAACGCGGCGAAAGCAACGGCGCAACGACTATCACGACAATGGCGGTCGAAGACGCAACCACGAGATCAATGGAAATTTTAGGAGTCACGATACCCTTTCTATTTCACGGCGAGCCTATTATGACGAATTCCACGATGTTGATGGAAAATCGACAAATGTCATCGATAAATAATGATTCTTCATCAACATCGAAAAATATCACGGAGAATGTTCGCACGACAGAGGAGACGTCATTCAGAGGAAGGGCACTGAACATTTCAGCATCAGAACCGGCTAATTCTTTGCATCCAAACATTACCGACTTGAGCGATGTTAGCATGGATGATGACGATAAGGAAGTCGAAGGTGATTAATATATATTGAAACACTGTTGGAATTTTTAAAATAAAGGCCAAAGCAAGAACAAGAAACAAGAAATAATTGAAAATCTCGCTTTATCTAATGCAAACTTAAATTGCTTAGAATTAAATAAATAAATCTAAACGAAGATTTTTGTATCTGAAGAATCGATCCTCAAAAAAGTCTTATAAATATATGCTATATAGTTCGTATTATCGTTTGACAAAAAAGAACAAATTTTAATATTTTAATGTTTTAATGCAGGTGGCGAATACGTAGCGCCTCATAACGAAACGACTGTAAATATTTCCTCGACTCTGTTACCAACGGTGGATGTATGCGTGGAAGGAAACCGAACGTACACCATTGGAGAGAAAATTGTCAGGAATTGCGAGGAAAAGTGTATATGTGGTGAGAATGGCGTGGCCATAGATTGCAAACCGCTTTGTTCCTCGCCATATGTTCGAGCCAATCGAGGAATTGAAGATCCCTTATGTCAGGAAAAACTCGTCAAGGAGGAACCGTGCTGCGCTATTTTGATTTGCGCTGCTGATTCAGGTAAGTTAAAATTTATCGATGTGGAAATACGATAAAAAAATTCTTTTGTGAATTTTATTTTCTTTAGCACCTGAACCAGAAGAGACTTGCGTTTTTGGAAATAAAACGATAATGAGAGGTCAACGAGTCGAGGATGGTTGTTCCAAAGTTTGCATATGCGAAGCAGGAGGAAATTTGAAGTGTCAACAAAGGTGTCCACCAAACGACACAATCTCAGCAACGAATCAACACGATCGCTGCGTCGTACTCTCCGATCCAAGGTATAAAAAACTTTCTAATTTTTCCAGATTTCAAAGTTATTTCTTGGTTCGCTTACAGCTTCTTCCTTGTTTTAGAGATTCGTGTTGCACAATCACGCTCTGCGATGTTACTTTGGGCGATCACGAGATTAAACCAGAAACTTCGACCGATCTGGCCGTGAATCTTACGGACGTAAAGGTGTTAAACTCAACGGCGATCAAGCTGAAATTGTCGGCTAAGAATCCGCAAGATGTGACCGTAGAAATATCCGATGACAATCACGTATGGAGACAGCAGAAACCTGACAAAGGTGAGAATTAGATTTAAGAATGTAAATATACTTTTTCAAGAAAATTTTTTATGAATGAAAGGATAATTGAATACAGAAGGTATCATATCGAATCTGGATCCTGCGCATTCATATTACGTGCGAGTGACGGATGGAACTCGAACTAGTCCAGCGCTACAGGTCTTTCTTCCCGCGGAAGTGATCAAGACGAATATCTCAGACAAGATGACGGATAAGAGCTCTTGTAGCCATATGGGAAAAACATATAAAATAGGAGCGGAATGGTACGACGAGTGTATTTCTTTCTGCACTTGCGTCGAAGGTGGTAAAACCGAATGCTTGACGATCGAATGTCCTACGGACTTTGGTCTTGATGCTCTCGATCCTCATTGTTTGGACTGGGAAACCGTACCTCCAAATTTCGTCCCGAAACCTCCTCACTGCTGTCCTCAGGTACACAACTCAACTTATTAGAAATCGGCCTTCGTTTTCTTTCATTGAAGATCTAAAAGAAATTGAAAAGATATAATGTTACGAATTTTCTTTTATGAAATGTAAAAAATGTAAAAGAGTTTCAAATATCCAACTTTTCATTAAAAACACATACACACATATACAAATGTTGCCATCAATATATACATTTTGATATTATTGTTTTTCGTGTAGAAAATAGATACTTGCCATCGAGACCATTCTCTTTGATTTTTAATGCATCGAATATATTAATTTTAGACGAGAGTACACAAATCAATACCTTGCAAACTGCTTTCTTAATTTTACGTAGATACAAGATCGATAATAGGAAGTCTAATAATAATATTGATCACGGTCGCAGGAAGTGCGGTGCAGAAATAATGGTTCGTGCGATTACGAGGGTAACACGTACGACAATTGGAGCGAGCTGCCCTCGAACGTAACCGGATGCGAGAAACGATGTTATTGCGAGATGGGGAACGTATCCTGTCAAGCAGCTTGTCCACCAGTTCCTGCTTTACCACCTGCAATTTTACCTTGCCCGCCTAATCAAGCCACGTTGATGCATCTACCGGGTGACGAATGTTGCTTGGAATGGAATTGCAGACATCCGACCAACCAATTGCTAGGTAAGCTTCTATAATAGAGAATGTGAAAATAGCGTAAAGAAGCGTGTTAATAAAATGACTATTTTGTTAATAGAATTGATTCGTTTGAACAAATTTATTAAATGGACTTCTTTACAGGTGTATAGGCTGTGTTTGAAAATCAAAGTTGTTAGATAGATGAAAGAATATTTGATAATCGAAGATAGAACCAGCCTGTACATCTGTCTGGTATGATTTTGAGAAATATCGTAGAAATTTGATTATTGTACATGATTAGTATCGAGATCAATTGATTCCTTGGTGGCGGTCGTATCAATATCAGCGATATTTCTTCCAAGCGATTGCTATCGTAAAGAAGATCTGTTAATTTGGTTATGGGTGATGCTTATCTACCATGCGGACCTGACTGGAACTTTTCAGTGCAAATGTGTACATACGCATATTTTGCACTTCTCATTAGCGGACCGGACTCTCTTCATATTCAAAAATATTTTTCTCATCGACAATGCCTATTTACCTCGAACCTAACACGTAATCGAAACACTGTACATTATTTATACCCCATATTCTTTCTTATTATACATATTATTATAGCTTCGAAAAGTATTGATTGATTTTTCCAAAATCTATCCTTCCTTAATGTAGGGGAAAAGAAATAGGAAGAAACGAATCTCAATCATAGTGATTCGAGCAAGGAAAGAAGAAACTGTAAATGCATGCTTTGTACGATACGCTTGTACATATATGTACCTTTGGACCTCTTGCTGTAAATATGCATGGAGAAATTCGGACAACTTGGTCGGCATCCTACGATCCGACAACTGCATGCATATGACAATCGACTTTATTACTTATTGCAGGAACGAACGCGACGTTTCTCGGCCCCTTGGCCACAGATCCATTCAATCGGCAATCGATTGACGATAACAAAAGACCGAATAACAAGTCGGATTCGGCCGAATCCAGCCAGCAACCGGATCCTGGAACTTCCTCCTTACGGGAAGATTCGAAAGACGCGCACACAGACACCATTACTCATGGACTATTTCATTACCCCATGGATCCTGGACATCCAACCGTACCGTACAACGGACCGTACAATCCCGACTATAAGCCCACACATCCTACCATAGAGAATGTATTCCATTTATCCCCCCACACCGAGAAACCTCCAACGCCTGGCGAACGTCTCAAAGAAAAGACAATCAAGTCGAAGACAGACACTAAGAAACCTGTCGAGCCTGTCGTGAAACCGCATAAAGATGACTATTTTCCCGGTCTGCTGACTTCGGACAAGTTCTTGGACAAGAATGGTCCACTGAACGGGAACGAAAATCACCAATTTATCCCAGGCCCCGTCAATCCCAACAAATTGCCACCTGTGCAGAAAGTTGGCCACGCGACTGATCAACCGCAATTCGTCCCATTGAATCCACACCGAGAGATGCTCGGCCCAGGATTCGCGATCGCGAACACCAATAATAAGCAAAGCATTCCTCAGGTCAATTTCAACACGCAGCTCGACAATTCAGCGATCGGTTCGCCTTATAGGGGACATAATGGTCCTGATAATCTCGATCCGAACGTGATCGTTCCTATAAATTCAAAGAAGAAAGCTCCACCAAGCGATACATTCGATGGTGAGAAAGGTAAAACACCGACAGGATTGGCGAATCGGCCGAAACAGGGCCAACGAAATCCAAATCAAGAGATCCTACCGGAAGAGCTCTATCATCTGATTAATCTTCAACATCCAGGGTTGGTCCAATTGGAACACGCTCCGCCCGAAGGACATCCTGGTTTATACGATATCCATCAACAGATATCGGGACAGAAGAACACGCCAAACAATCAATTACAGGTGGATTTTTCGCCGCAAGTGGCGTAATAAAAAAACCGGCGAAGCCGCATATTTATACGCAGAAGAGCGAAAACGGCCAGACGACATATCACATACATACATCAGATATACCGAATTCACCACAGCAGATCGAGGAATTGTTAGCCCATATCGGTCAACACGATCCTAATCCTGGACCGTTCCAACATTATCCCGGACAGCCAGCCATACCTCATAACGTGGCGAGTGGCCCAACAGCTACTTTGCCTCTTCACATTGACGCTCACATACCGCATTCAGGACTCACGCACTTGAATCATCCACAGTTCGCAGCACAAACGCCTAACCAGTCAGGTTCGTCCCTGAAATCAGCAAGAAATTCTTTTATTCTCGTCAATAATGAAAATAGTTTGAATCGGATTCTATTTTTTCTGTATTTCTAAAATTTTTTTATTCCGATATTGCGCGAATAATCTTAAAAAAAGAGTTCAGCTATATAAATATTCAAGGATCAGTGATCTTTGAATAAATGATGAAAGAATTTTATAATTAATTTTTTTATAACATTCGATTTGCTCGAATTGATCAAGCTACTTGAAATCAATGACATTAATGACAACATTATTATTTTGCGTTAATCAATTCAAATGATTAATTATGTACGTAAAATTTAGGTATGGAACACAACATAGCGACTGGTTTCCCGTTACCTAGTGCCATTCCTGGATTCCCTATTGCTTCTTCCGACGAGGTCACCGTACAAGTTCTCGAGGCTCTTGATGAGAACACTGTTCGCCTTGTTTTCACAGTACCACAAGTTCTTGTTGGACTTCATGGACGAGTCGAGCTGCGTTACACCAATGATAAAACGTATTTTATATATATATATATTTTTTTATAATTTATTTATGAAATCTCAATAATTATTATGAATAATTATTTATGAAATCTCATATATTACTATTTTGAAAAATAATTTTTCTTCTCTTCTAATAACTTATACTTTGCAATAGTTTGTAATTAAACTTTTCCATCTTAAAATATCGTATTAAGGAACGAAAATTAATTAGTCATTTATATTTTTTTTTACAGAAATTTTGATGTATCCACTTGGAAGTCACAAGTGTTCGCTCCTCCAAACGATTTAATCGCGACACCGCAGCTCGAATTTGAACTGGGTGATTTGAAGCCCTCGACCGAATACAAAGTGAAGATCACGGTAAAACTGAAAGATCTAACCAATAGTCCTACGAGCAAAATTTATAGCGTGAGAACGCTGGACAAGCGAGCTGATGCGACAACCTTGCCACCACAAATACCAATCGATGCTGAACTTCAAATCGCAGAGACGAATACCACATGGATCAACGTGATGTGGAGAAAATTCACAGAGTATGAATTACAATTTATCGATGGTGTTCAATTGAGATACAAGGAACACAACAGCAAGGTTTATACCGCTTCACCATTGATTCATAGAGCAGTTAGAAATTATTTAATCGAAAATTTGCAATCATCAACTATTTATGAGATTGGAATCTTCTTTGTTCCATTTCCTGGACAGTTGACAGAATTAATTAGTGAAAAAATGGTAGGTTTCAATAAAATTACTACTAATGATAAAAAGTATATCTAATAATATATCTTTTATTTTTATAATTAAATCTATACTTTTCTAAGATTCAAGCAACTACCTTGATGGAACCAGATCCATATTCGTTCGACGTCAAAGTGGAGATTAAGACGATTAAATCGACCGATGTGGAAGTGACTTGGATTGGTGTACCTTATCCGGAAGATAAATATGTGAATATTTATAGAGCAATTTATCAAAGTGATAGTGGCAAAGAAGATACAAGTACATTTAAAATCGCCAAAAGGGATTCTCATCCGAAAACCATAATCACTGATCTTAAACCAGGTACTAGATACCGTTTATGGCTCGAAATTTATTTAACTAATGGAAGAATAAAAAAAAGCAACGTACAAGATTTTGTTACCAAGCCTGGTGTTCTTTTGTCAGCTACCGTATCGCAACAAGGTATGAAACTAAAAAACCAGATGAAACTTTAAATAAATGACAAATATTTAATTAATTTTTAATCAGTTAAATATTTTATTTTCTTAACAGGAAAACTTGCTTCCTTGCCTCTTCACGAAGGTGATTATTACGGACCTTTGGTTGTGGTGGCCATCGTCGCGTCTCTCGCTATTCTGTCAACCTTAATTCTTTTAATGATGCTCATGAAAAGGCGTACTAGCAGTAAGGCTGATATATCTTCCCGTAAAAGCACATCAGCATACGACAATCCCTCCTACAAGGTAGAATTACAACAAGAGACTATGGGTAATTCACTCTCATTGTTTTAATGCGATAATCGCGGCCATTATTTCTTTCTTCGTGTCATTTGTTATATTGATACATTGTACATTTTATAAATGTTAATTGCTGACAAGTTAAAAATATATTGCGATTTTTCAGACTTGTGAAGATACCATTACGATATCGAACGGTAGAAGTAAAAGCACCGATCACGAAATGGCTACGATCAATAGCAACATAAAAGAACCTGTTTAAAGTTTTGTAATTTATTATATTATTATATTTATTTATATATTTTTGTTCGATTTTTACATATTGTTATTATAAGAGATTCTTGGTCGAAATTCTCGATCTAATGAAACTTAAAACATAACGAATTAATAAAATTTAAATGTATATTTAAATGTATACTTATGATGTATACTTTATATACGCATATTTTGATATTCTACAACGTTAAATTCTTAGTAGTTTCTTTAATTCAATAATCGATTAATGAAATTGCATTACGTTGTATTAAAAATTGTAAATAGCAATGTCAAGTAATACTATATATCGTATTAAATGATAAGATAGCAATTTTAAAATAATTAGAAATATTGTTTAGATATATATGAAAGCAAGTTTATAATCTTACATATATCATAGATTGCATAACAATTGCTTTCTATATATTTAATGTTAAAATTTGAGTCATAATACATATTATATATAATTTTATCGAATCTCAACGACCGAACCATGTTTTGTACAGTTTATATTTATATTGTTAGAAATATATATATATATATATATTACAAATAAGGTGTAATATGTCATATAGAAGTGTTAAAATACAAAATAAATAAAACTGTTTGTAAATTATGAACAGAAATATTTATTTGTATATAATCTTTTAACTTTCAATCAAAATTTCATTATATAGAAAATAATTTTAAATTCTGTTCATATAAAGTAAAGAAGACAACAGCAAAGATATTAAAAATTCATTCTTATAACAATCTTAAAAATAATCTTAATAACAATTAATATATAATAAGAGTATTACAGGTGATTAAAACTGAATCAAGCAAATAAAAGAGTATTGTAAGTGCAATTAAAAATATTTCTTCAACTCAGATTCCATTTGCAGAGGATCAACAGTTGGTGCAAATCGAGAAACAACTTTTCCTTCTTTGTTAATAATAAATTTAGTAAAATTCCATTTAATATCATCAGTTATGAATCCATTTGCTTGTGTCTTCAACCACTTCCATAATGGGTGTGCATTATTTCCATTAACATTAATTTTTTCAAATAGATCAAAAGTAACATTATATTTTTTGACAAATTCTAAAATTTCTGCAGAGGTTCCTGGTTCTTGACCGCCAAATTCATTTGATGGAAATGCCAAAATCCTTAAACCTTCTTTTTCATTATATTTTTCATATAATTGTACAAGTTCTCTGTAATTTGTATCTGTAAGTCCACAATTACTAGCAACATTAACAATTATACAAACGTGTTCACGATATTTATTGAGTGACACATCATTTCCATGAATATCTTTAGCATGAAAATCATAAATAGTAGAAGCTGATTTCCAATTTTCATCTTGATCTAAAGGTGCTACTAAAGCACATTCTTCTTTCTTACTATTATCTTCACAATTTTCTGCTATGACCCCACAAAAGAAGAGAACTGTTAGAAATATCAATTCTATAAAAGAAAAAATTATAAATCATAATTTATTAAATATTCATATATCTATTAAATACTATTAAAATATTTTGTAATATTACATAATATTTGAAAAAATTAAAGTCAAAATTGATTAAAAACAAATGAAAAAAGAAAGAAAAAAAGAAACAAAAGAAAAGCATAAAAAAAAATTAACAAAAAAGTTTTTATATTCTTAGCTATCAAACAATGCTAATATTATTATAAATTAAATATTTATTATTTAATTGCATATCATGAAATTATGACTAAAAGATTAATTTTCAATATTATTCTTAGTTAAAATGTTATAATAATATTAAAACTACTTACTCTGCATTTTGAATCAATGAATATTATTATCCTAAAATTTTAATCAATAATATTTCTATTAATTTTTATTATATTATATATTAATAAAGATGTTATTTAAAAAATATTAAAAAAAACAAATGAAAATATAATAAATATAATATTACCTTTTTACTTATAAAGCGCTAACGTCTGTACGTTTCAACTCGTCAAACGCAAATACGTTGCTCTTTCCTTTGTCTAGAATTTTTAAGATTGAAACACACTAACCTTTGTCCAGTTTTGTCCTTGAATCTATGACATCGAGGATTCTGGAATGGTCACAAAATAAAACAACTAAATTTTATTCTATATTCACATACCATAAAATATATTTACTAAGTATACCATCGGTCGACAACGCATAACATGCGAATTATATTACTGAATTATACCAAACGAGATACAAAATAATCGAGCGAATAATGAGAGAAAGAGGATAGGAAAAAAACATGGGAATCAGCGCCATCTTCAGAGTGCCGCAAATGATATACATAAAAAAAGACAAAAAAATAATATGAAAGAAATAGAATTAGGATAAGAATTGATTGCTAGTATTACCTTTGAAAAGCAGCATACAATAAAATAAGAATTGAGAATCAGCGCCATCTTTCGAATATATTTAAAAATATAAAATAATTTTTTTGAAATTATATATTCAAAACTCAGAAGATGACGCTAATGATCAATTTTTATTTTATTTTTATCATTCTCTTACTATTTTCTATCTTTTTTTATGTATTTAATTTGCGGCACTCTAGAGATGGCGTTGATTTTCATATTTTTTTCTATTTCTGTCTTTCTCCTTGTTTTCATTATCTATTCTATAAATTTTATGCGCTTTTGTGTATTATGATTTAAATATTTACATATATATATATTATACATTTATATATATATAAAAATATTTATGTCATTCAGTTCATTAGAATTTTATTAGTTCATTTTTATTGATTCTTATAAACAGAACTACACGTGATAATTTCGTTGCTATGTATCATAATATAACCTTTATAGTACAACAAGATCATAACCTATAAATCATGTTATTTATTTGTCATCGATTACAAAATAATATAAAATTTGATATTTACATAATACAATACATAATGCAAACATTTAATAAAATTTAATAAAATTAAAAATAATAATATTGTTTGAAATATTGCAAATATTTCATAAATTGTATATATGTGAATATTGAAAAGATAGTGAATTATTTTATTAAATATTGTTATTTAAATAGTAATTTGTAAAAAAAATGGTAAGTTTTACATATATAAAATTAATTATATTTTTTTATTATTATATATTTATTTTTTTTTTTTTAGGCACGAAATGCAGAAAAAGCTATGTAAGTATGTCAAAAAGAAAACATTTTTTTCAATAGAATTTTTATAAAATATTTTTATAAAAATTTTTTTATATATTATTTTGAATATACATCTTTTAATAGGACCACTCTTGCTCGATGGAGAGCTGCACAAAGTAATGAAGGAGCTAGGAAAGAGCAAGAAAGAAGACCATATTTAGCATCTGAATGCAGAGATTTGCGAAAAGCAGAAAAATGGAGAATGCAAATAATTAGAGAAATTGCAAAAAAAGTTGCACAGATACAAAATGCAGGTTTAGGGGAATTTCGTATTCGAGATTTAAATGATGAAATCAATAAATTATTACGAGAAAAACGACATTGGGAAGCTCAAATCAAAGAATTAGGTGGGCCTGATTATTCTAGAGTAGGACCACGTATGTTAGATCATGAAGGTCGTGAGGTATAGTGTATTTTTATCTTAATAAATTGATTGAATTTATCTTTAATAAAAATTAATTATAACACCTAGGTACCTGGAAACCGTGGTTACAAATATTTTGGAGCAGCAAAAGAATTACCGGGTGTCAGAGAATTATTTGAGCAAGAACCACCACCTCCGCCCCGTAAAACACGCGCCGAATTAATGAAAGATATTGATGCCGATTATTACGGATACAGAGATGATGATGATGGAATTTTATTACCTTTGGAACAAAAAGCTGAACAGGAAGCACGAGAAAAAGCAGTACAAGAATGGCTAACACAAAATAAAAAAGAAACAGAGATCGAAGAAGAAATCGAAACAACTGCTCAAAAAGCAATACCATCGCAACAAGATATTCAGGAAGCATTACTTGCAAGAAAAAAACAAGAACTATTAGAGAAATATGTACTTTGATAGATTTTATTTTTAGTTTTTAATGTATTCAGTAACAACTATTTATAAGTTTATTTGTTTAATTGTATTAGAGTACATTTTTATAAAACGCGACAGATATAATAATAATCATTATTAATTTATAAGTAATAACATTGATTAAGATAATTATTTTGTGCAGTAGACGTTCAAACTTCAATTAATACTTATCGAGATAAAGTGCTGTAGATAAAATATAGATAAAAATCCAACATTAGTCTGTTTATAATCCTCGCGATTCTTGAGTTTTTATTTTTTTGTTATTTTTTTTTTTTTTTTTTGTATCGACATTATAAGCACCGAACACTCGAGAAAGCGACACAATAGAATAAAACACCAGAGAACAAGATTGTAATGTCAGTATCTTTTCATTCCATACATTCATGCTCGTAGAACATTAGTAGTTAGATAAATAAAATTTAACTTCATACACTCTTTTTGTCTAATCAATATCTTAAATATCTTTAATCAAGCATTCTGCATTTCATCATCATTGAATCATCTCGCAAAAGCCAGTCATTTGCTCTAAAATAGTTCGATGCAATTACAACTATATCGTAACAAATCGGGAACAATCAAAGGCATAGAAATCACCCTGAAAAAGCCTTACTCATTAATTAAGTATCGTCATAAATATTTCGAAAACATTCTGTTTTTATCCACGTTACATTCGTTTTATCCGTGACGAGAGACCGAATATGCTTTTTCTACATTTTTCTCAAATCTCTCATCTCCGTTCAACATCGTGTTGTTTATAAACAGACTGTACAATATACGATTTATTTTACCAGGACTCAGAAGTAAAAAAAGTATCCTAATAATGCTAGCTAAAATCTTATTACGCTTAAAACTTTACTCAAAGTAGAAATTTGAATAATTCAATTGTATACTTTGTTATATATTCTTTTCTTCCATTATTTTTTTCTCGCTTCCTAAAAAGGTTAAGTTAGACGTATCAACAAACGGTCATCACTACAATATTATCGATTATTGATGATTATGCTAAATTTGAAAGCCCTAAAAATATTTTTTCGAAGAAAGCATCATAAAAAGAATTTTTGCATATTTTATAGAGAAAATTCATAATAAGTATTTATTTACTTATATTTGTATCAAAAGAACTTCTGAGTCCTTGCAATCGTGTTATATATTATCTAAATACGTAAACGAGAGAATAGTTCGAGCATGGATTAATCATTGATAATCATCTAAATATTATATAAAGCTTGAAAAAGTCAAGCATTAAACTATTCATAGTATCTGATATTTTTTATTCATTAATCAGTCGCCCATTTCATCAGTAACCAATTCCCACTAATATAAATGCGTGAAAAAAAACATTTCTATGTAATCTATACTCACAATAATATATATTACTAATTTATTAGTAATATTAACTCTACGATCACATCTGAATTTACAAGGTGTTTTATGAGTTTATTGTGCGTAGTTGAATTGTGAATCTGTTCTCATAATACATAATTCTTTTTATTTCATCGATTAACTATAACCCCTCGATGCTATTAATTGATTAACCGATATCTTGCATACACGAAATATTCATAATGTAGCGCTTACACATAATTATAAATATAGTTGTTAGTACATATATTGATTAACTGATATCAAATAACTTGGAAAAGTTATCATTGTTGACGTAACTTTTTGTTGTTTTAATATTATTCAATATTAAATAAATATATACATGTACGAAGAATATTAGATAGAAAAGAAATAAATAGACATAAATATATAAGAAATTAATATAACCTATTTGTTTATTTGGGAATATTGTTTTCTATTTCATACAAAGAGTAATAGTCGAAAATCGAACAAATGCAACAAGGGGTTAATTCTTTTTGCATATCAATCCATTCTCGAACCATATGATCAAAACACCAAGATTCGTAGTATCGAACGTATCGAACAAATAAGCACTGCAAATCGAATATTCCGTTGAAAGTATCGCGGAGTCGAGAGAGGAAAAGTTACGTTAGTTTAATTTAATTCGTCCAAAGGAGAACGACTAGAGGATCGCGATTCATAATGGGCTCTCGACTCGGCTGGGTATCCCACGACGATTCTCCGTCGATGGACACACGGCCTAAAAAGGGTGAAAGGCACAAAGTAAAAAATAACGATTAAGGTGTTGCTCAGGCACATATCGAATCGAAGTCAGTTTCGCGGTCCATCTGGTAATGTATACATTCGACTTTTGGGACCGACGAAATGTATGTTTGCATATTTGTATGCGCGTGTAATTGAAATGTATTGTGCGTATATGTAGGTAAATACGTGTAAGTGTATGAATGTACACGCGTCGCGTTCTTTCTCTGTTTGTATATGTAATATACATACGTAATATGTATGTTGGAAACACCCTCAACTCCGTCCGCCGTATCAAAAAGGAATGTACTTGGTACATCGATAGAGTTTTGAACTCAGAGTTACCACATGCTAAATTATGACAGCTCTGATTCACAGGATCAACAGATCAATATATTGACTTCTTTGTTCTGTTCGGGCAGTACAAACGGCATCCAATAAAACGCAGCCGCATTCATCTTGAAAAATTCAGTTGCTTTGCTACACGATCAGTCATATATCACGGTATGCAAGAATAACCGTAATCTGCACCGTGTTCCATTGATCAAACCATATCGTTATCGTTAACATGGAATGTTGTTTTGTAACAAAAATTCTTTCGTGATCGTATGTTTCAAGGACGTAGCAACGAGTGCCAACGTTGAACTTGCGTCGGTTGCCTTGCTGCACGCATATCATTCCAATGTTGAAGCTCCTCCGAGCCGGAACTGTTTAAGCCCAAACTGAGCCAACCGATCATTTCTCTTCCTTTTCTTCCCATTCCGCCTCTTCGTCGATTATAAACCGATAAAAAGAGTGTTACATCTCCAAGTTGGAATAGTGCAACCTAAACAAAATATTAAATTATATTAATTTCGAGAAAAGAAAAAAATATATTTATAAATTTTTTTATTTAATTATGTAATATAGCAATAATTAGCAATAAACATACTTGAAATATAAATGTTTCCTTATAAAGAGGATTCGGCTGAGCACGTTTCAAACCAGTTTTTGATCGTTCCATTTCATGACCATTACTATCCACAAGAGAAAGTTTAACATATGTATCAGGTGGTTTCGTGTCATTCCCACCACCACCACGAAAATGAGATCCTTTGATTATCTCTACCGATAAACGTCCGGTCGTTCCATTATAAGCCAAACCTATTAAAATCTCCGCTACACTTCCACCCTTCATACTACTGCCATAAGGAGGTATAGTATGCGATGTGTAAGTTGGTACACGTGCAGTAGGTGATGCATATGATTGAACTGATTGTTGTGATCCCGTAGAATCGCTGCGAGTCAAACTACTAGTTGTTCCCCAATCTTGAACCTTAAAGATTACATTTATTTTAATATACTTTGTTCAGAATTTATGGATAAAATAAAATATAACTAATATGTATAAATAATATAAATGTGACAATTATATAAGTATTTTACCGAAGAAAAAGGTGGAGGTTGTAGCGTTAACCAAAGTGTAGTTTCAAGCTGAAGATTAATTTGATCGAAAGAAACTCTCGCTTCGCCTAGCAATCTCTCTCTACGCATTCTTCCACCCCATAAATATACTCTTAAGCGTACACCCATGGCATTTACATCCTCCGGATTTACTCGTGGAAGTAAAAAACTCTCCATGTATTGTGGAGATGTACCCTGGCGTACCCGAGTTTTGCGTCGTTGTTTCTTCGATGGTAATAATACTAGTCGAACTTGACTACCTCCTATACCTTCAGGATAATTTCGGCCTTGCAATACATGAACCTATGAAAACACAAATCTATCAGCTATCATCAAATTATAAATGAATTTTATAAATGAAATTCATACAAACCGTCATCTCACGCATCGGTGCATCATATAGAAAAGCGACTTCCAAACTACCCACTTCTTCGGTGATAGTACCCATTGTTGTAATAACGTCATTAGTAGTTGAACCATTTTGCTCCACTTCTACTTCTTGTTCTCTACTGTCAAGACCGGAAGCTCCCACTTCTACCACGCACTATATGCCAAACAAAATTATTGCTTCATAGAAATCAAAATCAATAACAAACAATAGATAAACAAGTTAAAAAATTTATTAAATTTTTTATTATATTTTTCCTTCTTATTTAAAAATTATTTATTTGGAAAACATACTAAATAAATTTTAGACATTGAGCTAATATAAAAACAAATATAAAAACAAATAAATCATCAAAAAATTTTATGTGCTTAGAATATTGTGTGATAGGATATCCGGAAAATTCAAATTCCGATTGATTATTTGTATGACAACTACATAGATCAAAAAAATGAAATTCGAACATACATAAAACATGTCTTTTTTCACTCACTTGTTGTTGATCATTGGACGAGTGTTCTTCTGTGCAGCTGCTAGAAGTGGTGCCAGCATCTAAAATATTGATATATGATCAATTAGGAATGAACAAAATAAATGAAAAAGGAAAAAAATAAAAAAAAGATGGAAACTAACCCAGGATAGTCGGTCCATCCTCTGCTTGGATAGTTAAAGTATCCGGCGGTGGATGAGAGTGAGAATTCAACCGACGAAGGACATCCTCTTCCGAATCGGAACTAGTCTCTGGATCCGAATAGGAAAATGCCTTCCCTGCCGAGTTTCATTTTCAAATCGAATATTAAACCCAATATTCATTTAGGCTCGTATAATTTCAGGTACAAAGTAGTTGATAACGATCTTTGAAAGGACTGGGATCATCGCGCCTGTTCTGGATTGTTATATTTTCCAAAAAAATGTCAACATTAAAAGCGTAGGATCAGTCATGCATTAACCTACCTATGTTCTTTGTAATTTGAGAAGTGGAGCCATTATTAGATTCGCAAAGAGGCACGCAAACGCCGCCGAAAAGTGTGGTCGTGGACGGCGGAATAAGGCACCATTTGCGTGATAGGTACAGGAAAAGAGCCAACAGAAGAACCACAAAACCAGCAACAGCACCCAGAAATGCTGTTGCTTCCACCGGTACTGTAAGTTGATCGATTTGTGAGAACAACTAGTTGATATAAATTATTGGTTATTTATCGTTTGACAAATGATCGATCATAAACGATCATGAAAACAAGTTAAAAAAACAAGAAATGAAAGAAAAAAACGGACATAACGCGCATTGAAAGAAAAATGTGACAGCACGAACCGGAAGAAAGATTTCATAGATGTAAAAAACATGATTAAAAAGGGCACGTTCAAAGCAAAAGTTATTTATTGACCACAGAGAAAGGCGTTCACCCATACACCGATTAAATCTTTCTCCCGACCGGCGATTGTACGTGTAGTCGATGTATCGAACGCGTTATAACAGCAGCGACACATTACGTCGTAATGACCTGGAATAATTAACCATCACTTCACTTATCACGCAACCACTACTATATTAAATAGTGAATATCTATAATGATTCGCGATATCGAGATCTTATAAAATTTCTTGATTCTAATAATTTTTGTCGAAAATATCAGAACTTGTATTTAAAAGAAATAAATATTAAAAAATTATACATACTTGTACTATTTATTAATAATTCATGTATGTTTATTAAAAAATTGTTTTCCAAATTACCATATTTTCGATCTCTACATATCATTAAAATTATCATTAATTTTCTTTCATGAAAAAAAGCGAATAAATAATAATAAAATATTATTCAAGATAGTGAATTTTGAAATAATCTTAATTTGCGCAATGCGGAAGCCATGGCATACATTCACATTCGAATCATTTTCGATTAATCAAAGTGAAAGATATACATATTCTACATATGTAGAACGTTTTCTATTATCAGAATCTAACAATATATTAAAAGATAGTTGCTATGTCATAATCAATTTTTATTAAAAATTAAATATATCAAAATTTAAGTCTATTAGAAATATGTATATAATGTATATAATGCATGTATATATTTAATTAAGAAAGATACAACAAAAAGAATATAAAAGGAAAAGCACATTTCATTTAATTTGCTAACTTTTATTGTGAATGAATACTTATTCAATCATTCAATTTCTTTTCACAATTATCAATATTTTGAGGTTAACATCTCATTATAAAAATTTACATTTGAACAATTAAATTCAGGAAGAATAGTAGATAATAAATAGAAGATAGTGGACTTACCCGCCAGAAAATGGTCTGATCCTGCCAGAATCATGCTTGCCTTTATATCGCATTAAACTCTTCTTACGTCGTTTTGTCGACAAGCCATAGTACGTCTTTTACAAATGATGAATTCATTATCTATATGATTCGAAACTATTTAGAACTCGTGGTTGATCACGATCAACAAAAAGCGTGGTTATGAGACAGACGAATAATAATACGTAGGCGGAGATGTACACAGCACTCTGTTGCTTGTCGAGTCGTGCGCCTGCAATACTTCGACCAGTTATACGCATGCGTTTCGCGGGCATACATTCTTACAACGAAAATTTCTTTCGACAGGGATTCTCATTTTGAAATAATTTCTTTAGTATGAAGTTTGTAGTTTTTTTATATTATATATTTAATTAAAACATTATTACATTTATCAATAATTATTATATTTAAATTATATCTATTTTTTATTTTAAAAAAAATATATTATATTCTGAATTTAATATATCTTAAATAAAAAAATTCTGAATGAAATAAATTTTTTTTATTTTACTTCTTTTAATATATAAATCTTATTCATCAATTATTAAATAAATATTTTTATTTATTATATTCTTAATCATATCGTACAATATATGATTAAATTCATATATGTTATTTAAAAAGTAAACTGATAATTATAAAAAAACTAAATATTACATCGTTTATAAAATAATTGCAAAAATAATTTAAAAAATTTAAGTTTTAAAAAAAAATATAAATTATATCTTATTATAATAAATATTGTCTATAGTTATTGTATTTTATAATATGAATTATTTGAGCGTAAATATTAAAAAACAATGATGGTTCTCATCATCAATAATCAATATATTATAAACATATAAGAATTTGTCTATTAAGAAAACAGAAACACTTCACGAAATTATTTTTCTTATCCTTTTGTTATTATGTATTTTAAATAATTGGCACATTGACTTTTTAATACATATACTATTAATTGAATTAGAATTAATATAAGACTGTAATACAACAATTTGTTAATGAAATTAATTTTAGTTAACCAATATGAATATTATTTAACTCGTTCAAGACTAACTTGACTTAAATATGAAATAGAAAAATTATGATTAAATATGATAGAATTAATCACATAATTAATTTTTTTTTAATCTTTTGAAAAACAATACTTTTAATTTTTCTTCGGTACATATTAAAATATAACAAATTTAACTTGACAGGTAAGTTTTATGTTATTCAATAACATAACCTCGAAAATAGAATTTCATTTTTATATATTCAATAATTTTTTACTATAAAATTATTATAAAATATTTTAACATATGATATATGTAATGTATATATATATGTATATATATATATATGACGTACTTCATTTTATTTCTTTATTAACAATTTTAATTTTAATATTTTTAATTTAACTATATGTATAATATATTAACTTTTAATTTAACAGCTTGTTTTTAAATAATTTTATTAGAAATAATATTATATGATATTATTATATTAAAATATTTATTAATATAATATAATATAATATTTATTCATACTTATACATTATGTATTTACATTTTTTAATAAAATATAAATAAACATATTAATATTTATAATATCTTCTTTTCCATTAAATTATCTTAGGAATAAATAATTATGAATTACTTTACAATATTATGCTTGAAACAATCTACAATTTCAAATAAATATTGGTTGGAAAAATATTTAAAACAATATTTAATTTATCATGCAAAAATATATTCTACTGGAATTACTAATTATCATAAAAATTATATTAAGAAGGAAAATATTAGTAGAAAAAAACATAATATTTCAAAAACAATGCTTCAAGGTATCAAACAAACTAAACGCAAAGTAGAAATAATTATTGAGAAAGAAAATATTTGGACAGTACCAAATTTTCTTTGTATGAGCAGAATTTTAACATCCCCATACTTAAGTTACTTAATTTTATCACAAGATTATCAGGTAAAATATGTTTATATGATGTTTATATAATATATGTTTATTATTTTTTATATTTATGATTTGTTTGTTACAGATAGCATTGTGGTTATTAGTATTTGCAGGATTTAGTGATCTAGCTGATGGATGGATTGCACGTACATGGTCATCACAAGCTTCTAAGCTTGGTACTTTTCTAGATCCAGTTGCAGATAAATTACTTGTAGGTACACTATTCCTATCTTTGGCTTGGGTAGGATTGGTTCCTATTCCTTTAACATGTCTTGTTATTACACGAGATATTGTCTTGATATCTGCTGCTTCATACATAAGATATAAATCTTTACCTTCTCCAGTATGTATATATTGTTAAATTATATATAAGTATTTAAATGATTGTTTATTTATAAAATATATTTCAGAAAACTTTTGCAAGATATTTTAATCCTACATATGCAACAGCACAATTAGCTCCAACATCCATAAGTAAAATCAATACTGCTATTCAATTATCTTTTGTTGCTGGAACATTGGCTGCACCTATATTTCATTTTGTAAATCATCCAATTTTAATAGCTTCCTGTTACATAACAGCATTAACGACATTAGCAGGAGGTTTAAGTTATTTAATATCAAAAAATACATATAAATTCTTAAGAAAAAAAACTTCATCAAAAACATCTTTTTAAGCATATATGTTAATAATCATAACAATAAACTAATGTATATAAATTTATTATTTACTTTATTTAAATATTAAGTATTTACTTATTTAAATAAATTACATATTTACTACATAAATAAAATTAATAAAAAAATTATTCTTATTTTATAATTATCTGATAAATAAAAAGATTATTATTTAATTTCTATTTACATCGTATAATTCATATGCAAAATTTTCAGAAATATTTGTATTATAACAAACTCCAATATGATCAATTTCTAATTTAAAAGGACCTGATATTTTATCAGCAATTGTAATACCAAAATTTGTAACAATATTTTCAACTAAAGGATATTGATTTTCATTAATTTGTCCTTTCTTACAAAGCACAAATTTTGAAAAAGGAATTCTAACTATTTGCCAATGTGGACCACCTCTTGTATACATAAAATAATGATAAATATAATTTTTAATTATATCTAATTTTTCGTTTTTTTGTAAAATATTTAACATATAAGTTCTACCATCTCCTCTAATTCGTAATACAATTTCATTATATTGAGTCCAATCATATGTATCTATTCGACGAAAAGATTTGAATTTTGGAATTGTAGTGATATTGCAGTAACCACTATCTGTTGTTTTGCCATCTTTCATTGGACAAGTATTTAATATACCATGAAATATTCCACTACCATAAGATGACAATTCTAACCTAAAAACAAAAAAAGCATTTTTTTATACTAATTTACTTACATTTTTTTCAAAATGTGATAGCATATAAAATAAAATACTATGTAATTACTTAGCACTTGAATAACCATGATTATAATCACTGTCAGAATTTACAATCCATTGATCCAGCGACTTTTGAGTTCCATCAAACTTCCATACAATATCAATTTCATTTACTGTAAATTTATGTGGATATATTGAGTAACCCTGCAGTGCTTCCTGTATAAATAATTTACACTCATCTTTATATGTACGACATACTCTTTCTATTTTTTGGAAAAAGCTGAGATTTTTAAAATCATCATGTATTATTCTATCGTACACCGGTTGATCCGATTTATAATCTCCATGAAATGTTCTTTTAATGACTAAAGAATTTCTAAAATATGATTTTAATAAACGAAAAATACTTTTTTCCATACTTTTTTTTTCACACGATTAAATTATAAATTATAACTTTTTTTTGATTGATATTGTAACTTTGTTGATCATGCTACAATGTATTATATACGAAAAATTCGATCAGTGTGATAGGATTATTACAATATAATTTGTATAAGAATTATAATATAAATATAATTTTAAATTTGATTAAAGATTAGTTTTTATATTTTTATATATATTAGTTTTTTTCATTATTATTCTCTTTAATAATTACATATTAAAAATTTTTTTTAATTTTCTTAATTATTTTGATATACGAAAATGTAATATAAATTAATTAAAAGTATAAATTTTATAAATACTTGTTACTAATAAGAAAAAATTAATATTTATTAGTCAAATAAAATATAATTTAACCTTTATGTATGTATTTTTATATTTGATAAAAAATTTATAATAGGATTTTTTCTTTGTAAAAGATGGCAACTATGAATATGTTGAAACGAAATTAGTACAAGAATGATGCTATTTAGATATTGTAGGTTATTAAATAATAAAAATTTAATTTTTTTGCGATTGAAAAATTATAATAAAAATGAAAATACATTTCACATTAAATTTATATCAAATAATACTGTAGAAAATATAAATATAAAGTTATCTAATGGGTAAGAATATCACGTGCTTTTTAACCTGTGATAGTTATTAAATTATATATTTATATATAAATATTTATAATTATAATAATAAAAATGTATAATAGTATGAATAAATTTTGTTATATATTATTTATAATTACATTTACTTTATATTTACTATTTTTTATTTCAAATATTTCTTTAGGTCGGAAATTAAACTATCAACTGGGAAATATGCACGATTTACAAGTGGAAGTATTATTGCTACGGTTGGCGATACATCAATTATGACAACTGTAGTTAGAAAAAATGTATCATCTAATAATTCTATAATTCCATTAACTGTAAATTATAGGCAAAAAGCGGCTGCAATAGGCCGTATACCAACAAATTTTCTTCGTAGAGAATTAGGTTACACAGATCATGAAATTCTTATTAGTAGAATAATAGATAGATCATTACGTCCTTTATTTCAACCAAAATATTCATATGAAACACAGATAATATGTAATTTATTAGCTATTGATGGAATTAATAATCCAGATATATTATCTATCAATGCTGCATCTGCAGCTTTAAGCATTTCGGATATTCCATGGAATGGACCTGTAGCAGCTGTAAGAATTGGTTTAATTGATAATACATATATAATTAATCCTTCAAAACGTGAACTTCAGCAAAGTAATTAAATCTTGTTTTGTCATGTATATCAAAAAATTTAATTGTTATGATAGAAGGATCAGCAAATGATATTTTAGAACCAGAACTTCGAAAAGCAATAAAATTAGGTGCGAAAGAATGTCAAACAATTATACACTCTATATCAGAATTACAAAAACGAATTGGCAAACCTAAATTAAATATTGTCAGTGATGATGAATCAAACAATGATGTGAAAGAGTTTGTAAAAGAATTTGCATCAGATGAATTACGTAAAATTTTTAATTGTCATTCTTATGATAAAATTTCACGAGACAATGCTATTTTTAATTTGAGAGATAGAATGTTAAAAAGTATAACAGATCGTGATTCAAAATTTATTGAAAATGCTTCAAAAATTTTTAACAATATTTCTAAAGAAATTTTCAGATCTTTAATATTTGAAACAGAGAAAAGGTATTTTTTATTAAAAAATATTGTATTTTATTTACTTTTAAATTTAATTGAAACTGGCAATTAATGAAAAGTTATAAAGATTTAAACAATTTTAGATGTGATGGTCGTGAAATAGATGAATTGAGAAATATAAATTGTCAGGTTGATTTATTTCAACCTCTCCATGGTTCTGCCTTCTTTCAAAGAGGACAAACTCAAGTTTTATGTACAGTAACTCTTGATAGTATAGAAACTTCTCTTAAATTAGATACTATTTCCATGTTTTCTAGGTAGTTTAAATATTTTATTTATTAATATTCATAAATATATATTTGTAACATAAATGAATAAATATTATTTTTTTACAATTTACAGTGGTATGAAAGAGAAAAATTTTTTTTTACATTATGAATTTCCTCCATATGCTGTAAACGAAACGGGTAAACTTATCGGAATGGATCGTAGAGAAATTGGTCATGGAGCATTAGCAGAAAAAGGATTGCAACCAGTTATACCTCAAAATTATCCATTTGCTATAAGATTAACAAGTGAAGTATTAGAATCAAATGGTAAAGAATCAAATAAGTAGTACAAATATGAAAATAAATCTCATTTCTATATATGTATATATATATATAGAAATTTAAATATTTTTTCTTATTTTATGTAAAGGTTCATCTTCTATGGCTTCTATTTGTGGTGGTAGTTTAGCATTAATGGATGCAGGAGTACCAATATTATCTCCTGTAGCTGGTGTAGCTATGGGATTAGTATACAATAATACTGATAATGCTGATTTAAAAGAAAAAGATTATAAAATTTTAACTGACATATCTGTAATAATTTATTTTATTATTATTGATATATAATTATAATTCAATAAAAAAAGATTAATTCTTGATTTCCAATATAGGGTATAGAAGATCATCTTGGAGACATGGATTTCAAAATTGCAGGTACAAAGAAAGGATTTACTGCTTTCCAAGCTGACGTAAAAATACCAGGAATTCCTTTAAAAATAATAATGAAAACTATTGAAAATGCACATACAGCAAAAAGTCGAATTATTAATATTATGAATGCAGTAATATCTTCTCCAGCAAATGATAAAAAAGAGAATAAACCTGTACTTGATACTATAGAGATACCTGTGCATCAAAGAGGAAAATTTCTTGGAATCGGAGGATCAAATATAAAAAAGATATTACATGAAACTGGAGTTAATGTAAATTCAAAGAAAAAATAGAAATTGACTAATTTAATAATGAAAATTACTTAGCATTTATTTTTTTTGTAGATATATTCGGAAGATAATGTAGTATTTTCTATATTTGCGCCTAATCAAAATGCAATGAATGAAGCCAAATATATGATAGATAAAATTTTGCAAAAAGAAATAGAACCCACATTGACATTTGGTGACATTTATACAGCAAAAATAACTGAAATTCGTGAAACTGGAGTTATGGTTACATTATATCCGACTATGATACCAACTTTATTACCTAATTCACAGTTAGATCAACGTAAAATTCATCATCCTAGTGTACTTGGATTAAATATCGGAGATGAAATAAAAGTAAAGTATTTTGGACGAGATCCGATAAATGGACGAATCAGATTATCTCGGAAAGTATTGCAAATTCCAATTTCTATGCAAACGAATTTCGATACTGCTAAAGGTTAGCAGAAAAAATCATTATAAATATTTTTTATATTTTTTTTAAAAGACAAATGTAATAATTGTATATTAATAATAATAATATTATAAAATATAATTAATTACTTTGTTAAAATTTTTATTCGGATTTTTATTAAATGATATTAAAATAATATAAAATAATATTAGATATAAATAATATTTTCTTACGTGATATTAAATATCGTTTATATAATGAATTAGATTAAAATATTTCTAATTCATTTTGACGATTCACGTTTTTTTTTATTCAGGATAAACCTTTTTCAAATCCTTATTAAATTTTTTAATCTAAAATAATGTACAAATTTAATAATTCAATGATTGATGATTACTATGAATATAACATCGACTAATGGATATGTAGCTCGTTTCAAGTTAGATCGTCTAATTAATATATCCAAATATATTTATTAAAAGTGATTTAAAATCAAATTATTAAAAATGATTTCACGTTTCATTTATCGTTACATTTTTAAACGGACATCTAGTTTTGTTCTTAGTATCGTTATCGCATCTGTATTTTTTGAAAGAGCTTATGATCACGCTTGTGAAAATATTTTTGAATGGATAAATAAAGGAGTATGCTATTAATCTTTTAATTATGTCATATGAATTATTCGAAACTATTTTTTTATTTGAAATTAAACATGTACTAAAATAGTATGTTTGTTGAACGCTGAAGTTATTTTTAGCGATAAATAAATAAATTTTACAATATGATAGTATAATTTGCATTATTATTTATTTATATTTCCAAATATTTATTGTAATTCCTGTATGAATTTTGAATTACAAATTTTTAATTATCAAATATTATCTTTTCTACAGAGACTTTGGACGCACATAAAACATAAATACGAAAATACACCACAGTTGATTCATCAACATGATGAAAAAAATACATCTGATTTGGAAAAGGCGTCCAATAAAGATGCAAAGAAAGACTGAATTTTTTGTAAAATAAAAACTCTATTGTTAAATAAAATGTAAGAAAGTTTTTTCTAATATGCTTTTTTTCATTTATTTCATTCACGATAATATGTTTGAGTTCTTAAATTTCATTTCTATCGCGATATTTAATTAATATTTTTGCATTGTTATTATTAAAGAAATATAAGCATATTATAAGCATATTATAATTCTTATTGTTTTTTAATAACGATTCTTTAGAAGTATTCAAAATAAACCTTATTTTTCTTATATTCAGGAATATTGAATAATATAATTTCTTAATATACTCATAAAAAATATCACAATTATCAGAATTATTTAATGGAAATGATAAAAATCTCATTAACAGCCACTAAATATCAAATGAAGAGTATATTGTTCTAAGTAATTTTTTATCTAGTCAAAAAAACCCATCTTGTCTATTTTTTTTATTATCTTGACTCATAAAATTCATCTTTCATTAAAATAATGAAAGGAAGAAAAAAAAAATTAATGAAAAGTAACTTCTTTATAATTCTAGAATGAAAAACATTTCATTCAATTTAAAAGGAGAAGAAGAACGATCTCGAAGTTCTGAAAGGATATATGTGTATGTATATATTTATCTATATATATATATATATATATATATATATCGCTTATAAATATCTTAAAATAATTTTAATATCACAATATTTTAAAATCTATTAAATATATACATGTGATAATTCGTTAAATAAATTCCATAAAAGAAGAAACCAATTAATTAGATTTATATGATTTGTTTTTTTATTAAATAATAAGTAAGTTGTAAAATGATAAGTAATGATAATGATCAATTTAATTTATGTTTTTAAAACCTCTATTTCAATTTTTTTAAATCTTTTTTTTTTAAAAATTAGAGATATACAATATCTTATCTATTAGTTGATATTGTTCGCGTTGATATTAAAAAGATAACACTATTAAAGATTATATATATAAGGAGTTTTACTATTTTTTATTTTTTATTTAATAGAAAAAGTGCAGGAAGACAATATAAAAAAAGTGTTATATTTCGATGTACATGAAGTTAGTTATACTTATTATTTAACATTATTATTTATATTTATGTAAATATTTTTAAACATTTTGATATTAACACGTATGTATTATTTAATTTTATCGAATCAATGATTTATTGAAATTATATAAACATTTTTTAGTGGAAAGATATCAATTTTTATAAATTTGAAAATTATCTTTTATATAAATTGATGCATTAAAATTTTGTTGTTATTTTTTATATTAAAATATATAAACATGTAATGAAAGTAAATAGTTCAAAATAATAATCTTGCTATTCATTTTTTAAGTAACAAATATAATGTATAATTTGATTTTACAAGAAAAGAAGAAGAAAATCTCTTCTAAAAAAAGAATTTGCGATACATAATTAAATTAAAATTATTGAATATTTTTAAATTATTTTAAAAAATTATTTTAAAAATCATCAAAATGTTATGCATAATTTGAAAAAGTTTTTTTTATGTGAAATTAATTTTAAACGATACCTATTGCTTTGTGTTTTAAGCTAAATCTATAATTCTTAACTTGATTTATTTATTATTTTAAAATATAAATAACATAGTGACATTAAATCGATTAATTATGTTATTTAATAAATAAGATAAGGCTATGTGATTTCAATTGAAAATTATTTTGTAGTAGGCATATTTAAAAAAAAATTTGTTTTATATTAAACATATTTATATAAAATATATAATTGATTAATAAGTCTTAGAATTTTGTGTTATTATAGATTTTACAAAATTTAAGTATAAATTGAAAATTGACAAATAATGACTTTTGTAGCTTAAAGTTAAATAAAATAGAAAATGGAAGCTGAAGAAGAGAAGAGATGAATTTTTATAAAAAAGATGAGAGTTTATTAAATTAGAAAATACTAAAAATTTTGTAATATAGTAAAAGATGATATTATTATTTATATAGATTTTTTTTGTTTGTATTTTTACATGCGGATTTATTTTTAAAGAAAATATCGTAAATTGTTTATTTTAATATAGGTTGAAACATTATAAAATTAACATATGATATCATTATATTATTTTTTCTATTTTTTTTTTCATATTTTTTTATTTATTGATTAACAAGTAATTTTTTAAGAATAATAACCATATACAACAAATAATTGAAAATTTATATTTCATTTTCAGAAATCTTGGAATCATGAAGTTATTAATTACCTTCGTGATAGTTTTAACTTTTTCGTCATTAATTATACATGGAAACATTATTCCAAAGGAATACGACATAACTACGAATACATCAGTTATCTGTGCAAATAAAACTGTAATGTTAAGATTTTCTACTTTAACAACAATAGACAGATATTTCATTGCTTCTCCCGATATAAGATGTATTGACATAAAAGGCGTTGTTACGATTAAAGAAGGAACCTTTGATAACGTGCCAAATTTAAAATATCTTGATCTCCGAGAAAATAATATTTATCCAATTAACTTCTTTTCTTTTGGTAATCTTTCAAACGTGGAAATATTACGTTTCGGTTATCAAAAACAAAGTTCAAGTTTCAGAAACAAATTTCAAGAGACAGAAAACAGAAAAATAGTAATAAGGAATGTATTTCCTGAACTTCGATATTTAGATTTAGAATATGCGAATATCTATTCATTACATAGTGAATTATACAATCCATTCCCAAACTTAACACATTTATATATTTCAGGGAATATGATTCAGCAGTCTTCCCTGAATGATATCTTACCTAACACATTAATATATCTTAATTTAAGCGATAATGGAATTTCCGAATTCTTATTCGATGGATTAAGTAATCTGTTGTCGTTAACCTTAGATAATAATAAAATCAGCAGAATGGGAAAAGATATTACTTTGAATAGATTGTATAGATTGGAGAATTTATCATTGGCGAACAATCAAATCAGTTCTTTCGACAATAATACATTTCAATATGTGTCCAATCTTCGATATTTAAATCTACGTAATACTTCTTCGACTTTTAATTTCGATATAATTCAACCTTTGAAATTTTTAGAGACTCTTATATTAGATAATAATTCACTCGAGAATGTTCCGATTTCGATACCTTTAAATATAACTACGCTCTCGTTAAATTGTAACAAATTAAGGTATCTAACGTACAGCTCTCTCGTCAACATGCCGAATTTAAGAAAATTACACATTAGCAGAAATATAATTTCAAGCATCAATGTAGACACATTTGAAACTCAAAAGCTGTTAGAGGAGTTATATCTTGATGATAATTATTTAAGTTTTTTGCCAAGAAATTGGTGTGAATTTATGAGGAAGCTTCGATATTTAAATCTGTCAGGGAATAAATTCACTTCTTTAGAGATGGTGATTTATAGTTCTACTTTGCCCATAGAACAATTATATTTGGAACGCAATCCTGTTCAATCTATTAATATGTCAAGTATATTGCAAATAATACCAAAAAATATGACAATTTATTTAAAGATTGGTTCAGAAGCTAACAGAACGTCATGCATACCTTTTATGCATACCGAAACGAGTACAAATTTACCATTAACGTCTCAGTATACAAACTCGTGGAAGTCATCAATACCGTGGTATACAACAAGAAGATGGTAATCTCGATTTTTTAATTTTACAGAAGAACAGTAATTTGTATTAGATATAATTGTCTTGTAATTTTATTGTACAAATATATACAGAATGCATTAAAATTGAATATTGCTTTATTTTTTCGCTTCTTTTGACATGATACTTAGACAAATATGCAAAAATATTACAAAAATCATATTAATTTAGCTTTTAAATATATACGTGCTTTGTATTCTGTATATACTTTTTGCTCAGACACGATGACTTGAGCGCAACATGTATGTTCAATCAAATGCTTTCATGGTAATCATTTGCAATTAAACGAGAGATAAATAAGCATTATAGGTATTCTTAGAATATATAAATAAAATTGATTCATGGTAATGGAAATAAAGTATATTTTGTCGCAACTTATCCAATTCATGTAATTTAAGAGATAGAAGCTACATTTTGAGTATAAATACTTGAATAACTGTACAGAACACATTTTAATTCCTTACTGGCTGGTCTTTAGCTACTAATAAGATATATTTATCAGTAATTGATCTATTGGTTTAACATGGTATGTATCGACCAATTATTTTTTAATTCTATTTCGACTTAACACATTGTTTTAAAGATTTATGAAATTAATAATTGAAAAATTAATATAAATAATAAATATTAATTTACATTTTTTAATTATCATGGACACATGATGTAATTCAAAATATATAACGATATATTCTTATTTGTTGCTATTATATTATAATTGTTTTCCATTTTTTCAGATTCAATATAAAACTGTATTATTTATCTTGATATTGGCCATCGTAAAAAGTAAATGCAGCCCCAAAATATCTTGGGATCCAAATATTATAAAACAAAATTTAGATAAAATAATACTTGATAAACAATCTTTTGTAACATGTTCTCAAGAGGAAATTATAAACTTAAAAGGATTAAATTTAAATAGTATACCAACAGAATTAATTAAAAGTAAAACAATAGAAGCAATTTCACTACAAAATAATGAAATAAGTATAGTTCCTAGCCATATATTTTACGAAACTCCAAATTTACAGTGTCTTGATCTGTCACGGAATAAAATTTTGCCGAATAATCTTGAAATGAAACATAATCGTTTGCAAACGTTAATTCTCGATTATCAAAAGAATTTACAAAGTAATAAAAATGAAATACTTTTATCGCAAAATACCGTCAAAATAAAAGGGCAATTTCCAAATTTGAAAACATTATCTTGGAAAAATTTCACAAATGATATTTTAACTTCCATAATAGCATCATTTCCGAGAATAAATAATATTTATTTATCCGATTCTAATTTACAATATATAAGTAGTAATATAGGAACGATATTCCCGTATGTGAAAAATATCCATTTAGAAAATAATTTGATCACTGAGTTAATTGGACACGATTTTAGAAATGTGGAAGAATTATATTTGGATAATAATCCTCTTTATAATTCAATCTGGTTCGATCCAAAATTTACAAATCTAAAAATTCTCTCATTATCAAATACTATGAGGAATCCTCCTAAACTCAACATTCCATCGTTAATAACCTTAGATTTGTCTCAAAATAGATTTTTGTTTGAAGAGGATATCTTTGAATATACAACATCTTTAGAAAATTTAATTTTAAGTAAAAATGAATTTAAAAAATTTCCAAATTTAATTTCTTTAAATAATCTTAAAAAATTATCGTTGGCTTACAATGTAATTACCAATGTAAAAGATATAAGTGTAGGGAAATCTTTACAAATGTTAAGTCTACGAGGCAATCAAATATATAACATCGATAAACAAGCATTTTCCAAGTTTACAGAACTAGAATTTTTAGACTTATCGGAAAATAAATTACAATCATTACCATTTGCTTGGAATAAAAACTTGTCAATGTTGAAATATCTCAATTTAGAGTCAAATTATTTTCTAAAAATAGAAGATATGATGTTGAATTCATTATTTACTTTACAGAAACTTTATATAAAAAATAATGATATCGTGTCGATAGATTTAGATATATTAAAAATTATACCGCAAAACTGTACCGTATATGTGCTTTGAATATTATCACACACGAGATAAACAATAAATCTAAAAGATTAAATGTATTTCGATTGTCACTTTGCATGTTGAATTTCTCGCTTATCATTATTATTAAACTGTCATTATTCATTATTATTAATTGTTGTTTTAGATAAAAATAAAACGTTACAATTTCAGTTTACGATAATATTCATTTTTTCTTTCTTCCTTGTCATGCATATGTTTCAAAAAATTTTTTTTACAACGAAAATAATATAGAATTGTTTTATATCAGTTATATGCGAACGATATCTTTTTACAAGTATAAGATTCGTTTCTAAGAACTAAAAATCTTACTACTCAGACAGATAGATAAAGATTAAAAATTTTTATAGCAAATAATAACGAGATAATGTCGAGAAATATAATAATTTTTTAAAAACATTCATGGTGATTTTAATCGAAAAATTTTTCATTTTTTATAAGTTAACAGAACATTTGAAATTTTTTCGATTTATACTTATCTTCGAATGCGAATATTTTTCCTGATGAATGCATTATATGTCTATGCGCATTTATACACATATATCTCTTATAATTCGTGGTGAAAACATTGTTTTTTTTTTTATTTATTTAAAAATGTCGGAATCAGAAACTTTCGGATTTTGATTATCGATGATTTGAGTTCGTTGAGTTTGAATTTTTCGCTCTGCCAGTGTGGTTTAGCTTTATTCTTAACAGAAACAAAAGTTATCATTATGCCACAATGTTTCTGCTACTTTGTAACGTGAGCTAGAAAAGATAACTTTTGCAGAAAGTTGATATATGCACCTCAGCAATTATTCGATATAGCGAAGTGGCGAACGAATAACACTTATCACCCTGTACGTTTTCTTTTTCAATGAGAAAGAAAATATCTATATTTGTATACGTAGAAAATCAAAGTAAAAAGTAAACACGTATCATAATACGAAAAGAAATTTGCTTGAAAGTGGAATACGAATTTAATACGTATATGTTTTAAAAGGATCATCGAATCCGTTCGTTCAAATAAATGTATACTCCTTCTTTTTTATAATCTTATCCATAGATGTTGACAATGTTACTTAGAAACGAATACATATATTGGAAAGAAGAAAATTATTATGCGATTAATTAGAACTATAGGGCAATCCTCGCTAGGTTACACTCCTGAGACCATCCACCAGTGTTAAATTTCGCTAGGATTATCGTTGTACTATAAGAAGATAAATGAAGCAGTTTGCAACGGAACAGTGTTCGATACGTGTTGAAGTAAAAAACTGTGTTTCACGACGGATCCCTTACGATCGTTAAGGTAAGTTTAACTTTCTTAACTAAAATACAAAG